GAGAAAGCCCTCTATTTTAGTTTGTTTCCTGCATAATGAAACAAATGTAGAAGTTGTACAACGTGAGTTGTTTGATAGAGATGAGGCTCTACAATAGCTTAAACATCATTTACACCATGCTCAAAGCAGAATGAAAAATCAAGTTGATAGAAAATGGAAGGAGAGAAGTTTTGAGGTAGGCAAATGGGTGTTTCTCAAACTGCGCCTTCATCGTTAAGTTTTTGTTGTCACTCGAATTAATGCGAAACTATCAGCACGATATTGTAGTCGTTCCAAGTGTTGGAGCGTATTGAGGCGGTAGCTTATAAATTGCAACTCCTTGAAACATCAAGAATCCATCCTATGTTTCATGTCTCATTACTTAAGAAGGCTATGGGTGATTACAAAATTGAACAAGAATTACCATCGGGTTTGGATGGTGAGTCTACAACAATACAGGAACTGGGGGTGGTTTTAGCTTCCCGCATTATGACCAAAGGTGGAGAAACTGTTACTCAGCTGTTAATTCACTGGAAGGGGCAGACAGTTTATGAAGCTACTTGGGAGGATGAAGTTACGATCCTTAATCAATTTCCAAGTTTCAGCCCTAGGGACAAGGCTGGTACTTAAGAGGGAGGCAGTGTTACTGCCCAAAATAGTCAGGAAGACATTACGATCCAGCAACCATATAAGAGGCCTACCATTTGGAGGGTGTATAAGAGGAGAAAGGAAATAATGGGTAATGAGTTAGCAGAGAGAGAAAGTAATAGGGAGAGTTAGTTATGACGATCCTTATAGGGACAAAGGGGGTAAGGAGAAGGTATCGAAGAATATTTTATAGTTAATATGGATAGAGAGCAGTAGCTCTCTACAGGAGCCATACTCTAGGAAGTAGCGATTGTATTCTCCTATTGATATTTCAATCCATTCAATAATATACACTCAGTTTTTCATCATATCTCTTCATTATTCACCTTAACCGTTCTCAGTTGGGTTTAATTTGTAACATTATTCGATTGAATTAATAATTGGATTAGTTTATTGTTCAAACGCAGATTAAAACCTTTAGATAGTGTGATAATCAGAATTACGTGCATTTGGTATTCTGTGTATTGATATTCCTTAATCTTTTTTTATTCAATTTAATTTCAGTAGTAATTTTGATTTAATTAATTTGAAATTTTCAAATCCTTAACCTTTATTTGCTTTATTAAAAAAACCTAAAATTAAATTTAATAAAAGATGTGTCTCTGTGAATCGACCTATATTGAGCTCTATACTGCAAAATTCTTAGAGAAACTTAGTTGTTTTCATAGTGACTTGGTATCATCTATCACTCGCCTAGGCAAGATTGCCTCTCCCTTAGGCGAGAATGTTCTCGCTTAAGCAAGAATAGCAAAAAACTTAGTAGTTTCACTGTCTGGTTTTCTCAGCCAGGCGAGGATGCGCATGTTTAGAGGGGTATTTAAGGAACCTCAGCTCCAAAAATGTTCATTTCTTATCCAATAGACTTCCTTCTTAGTTTCTCTTTGTTCTTTCACCTTATCCTTCCACAGAAAACTCTCATGAACCCTGAATCTCTTATAGATTCGAGCTCAAGCTTCTATTCCATTCAGATCCAAGAAACCTTAACCCTTAAGACGATATCTTCTATTGGGACGTTGTGCCTCTCCTTTAGATCTCTAGAAAAACTCGATTTGAGAGACCCATTTTCAGGTAAGGAGAGTTGATCCCGAATTCTAAGCCTTCTTTATGTAATTTAATTTTGAAAACTCAAACTAATTGATTATAAATAGCAAAGTTACAAGATTTCCTTGAAACTAGTGTTAAACAAGAATTTTTTGGAGAGAAAACCTCATTTTAAACTCTAACTCCAGTATTCTCGTTTTGGGTAATAGAACCCTATTAATTTTAAGATTTTAGTACTAAGAATAAAATTTTGGGGCATGAGAAACTGATAACTTATTTCAGAAAACTTCTAGACAAAATTTTTATAGTAAAGACTATGAGTAAATAAGTTTTAGAATAGTTTTAATATTTTACCATCATTACATATGTACGATTAATATTGAAATGTTATTTTGTATGATATATGTATTAGAAGATGCCAAACTTTGGGATAGGCGATTTTGTTAATACTAAGAAAATAGATATATTAATTGTACACATGAGTTGAGTCCAAAAGTGTCTGACCTTCAGCACATTGTATTGACTATATGGTGTGACATTGTTTGATGATTCTCTGTATTAGATTGGTATTATACAATAAATATAGATGTTGTTTGATAGCTAATGTATGTTGAAATGGATGAATTCATATTATTGATGGAAGTGTTTGACTGATATTGAAGGAAGAAAGAATATTATGTAAAAAGGAGATAATGTGACATGAATGAGAAATTATGAGATGTGTGATTATAATACGTGAGTCATAACAGAGTGAGAGGTGTGATTAAGATACAAGTATTGTGACACATCGAAGTGTGTACTATAATACATGTATTGTAATACATTAATTTATATAATCGTAACTCACGTATTATGACATGTTGATCTATGAAAAGTATGTGGGAATGAAAGAGAATGATATGAGAAATATTGAAAATAAGTATAAATAGTCACAGAGATACACTGGGGTGTGAAAAATGAGGGTGATTTTGAAAATATGGGAGAAATGAGGGTGGTAGACGCTTTCTTATGAAATGCGCATAACTAATGAAAATAGAGGAAAAAGATACCACACGCTTCACACTCATTTCTTGACCTAAACTTCTGACCAAACTTTTACTAAAAAGGTCAAGTTGACACATGTTGTATCCGTGTGCAGCGGCTATCCAACAACTATCTATGCTACGAAGTCCTTAAGGGATCCTAGGGGCAATGATTGTGAAATGATGATGGATGTGAAATACTATAGAAATTGTGTGATTATAATATGTGTTGTAACATATCGATGGTGTTGTTATAATATATGTGTTGTAATATATCGACAGGTGCGATTAAGACACATGTATTTTGACATATTATTAATGTGATATAATACATATATTATGACATACAGATTAGCGTGAAAATGTATGTTATAAATATTTACAAGGATGATTGATTTGTTGTATGTAATCCGTTATGATAATGATTTGTATGATTGGAATGTTATATTATTTAATGTATATTAGATAATATTTTTAGTACTATATATATATATATATATATATATATATTTTGTTAAATAAGAGATTTAGTGGAATGAAAAATACTCACCATTACTAACTATTTTCAAGAAATGGATTTGAAAAAACTAAAGAAGATTGACTCAAACTAAATTCGTATTCTGAAGGACTATAATATTTATTAAACTTTTATGCAAATTGATAACGTTACGTAATTATTCTAAATGTTTATTTATGAATTTATAACACTTTGATAAATTTGATTTTAAATATTAATTTGAAGTGTATTCATAGCATTGATCGTTAGTTATTTTAATTATAGACTACATTCATTTTATAGAAATTTACCCTGGTAGGAAATAGTATATTTTTTTCAAATTTTTACATATATATCATGAATTAAATAAATTACTGAAATAAAAATGTTAAGTTTCACTCTATTTGCAAATTTAACTCTTATAAATAATTTTTCTGAGAATTTTGAATACCTTCAATTTTTGTCAAATTGGATAATAGAATAAAAGTTTGATTTTTTTTTTCCAATTCTTTTAACCATAACTATAAAAAGTATTTATAATATTTGTAATTCTTTATTACAAATTATATTACAAAATACGACTGTTATATATGTTAACAATTGTTTGTCTTTTGTGCTATTCTGTGGTTCTATTTTTTGTTTTACTTTTATTAATGCTTCTCACTAATTCTAACAAGTTTGGAAGAATATTTTTCCGCTGATTATTGCTCTCTTATTGTATCTCTGCCATTGTATTGACATTTTCCAGTCAAATCCAAGTGCTTCTAGCGATATAGGGGAAAGTGGAAGTAGAGTTGAGCATAAGTGTCTGTCTCCCATTTTGCCAATTAGGATATATTGGACCCTTCCAATACTGCAATTTACAGCATACCACCGTGAGCTTCTACCTGAATTTCCCAAAAGCTTCGGTGCCGTTGTTTATACGAAACTATCGAACTATAATGTGTTCCATGTACTGGAGTACCACAATAATATGGTTGTTGCAACCGAAGCTGCACTCAATTAAAGCTTTACTGAACATTCTTTCCTCTGATGATGAAGGGCAGGAGGAGAATAAAGTGTTGTATGAAGCTACAGGTTGGATTTGCTTAGGCAAATTTAACTCTGAAGCCTCTACTCTGCCTGCATTAAGCGATATTTGATTCATTTAAGTGGATCAAAATTTAACGGTTCTGTTTCTGCGTAAACTGTAAAGATTTCGGATCCCTTAATCAACGCATTCATCATCAATATTAAATTGAGAATAATATTTAAGATATAATTTTCATTCTAAATGAAAAATAATATCATAAACACTTGCACTTTATTTGAATAATAATAGAAATAGGAAAATAGAAATAAGATAAAAATAAAAGAAAGAACAAAATGATGAGAAAAAAGTCGATTTCTAACTTGTCTGGTTTAAGAGAATTAAGAAAAAAAATTGGAAAGATAAAGCTGATATCTCTTTCTATTTGTTTAGTGAATAAAAAAAGAAAGAAAGAAGGTTTCATTATGTATAAGGTCATAAATATATCATTTTGTTTTCATAACTGCTATACAGAAATTATCATATAAATGAGAAGCCCCTAATTTAGGCAGCAACCTAGGCTAACAAATGTTCCTTTTTGGCTACCAAAGTGAAAAGTGAGATTTTCTCCTAAAATGAGTAATGTTATTTGAGTTTTTATACCGGAAACCCTATACAAATAAAAAAGTAATTATACTATATAAGTGTTTAGCAGACACTCAAACTGGGTGTTAAAATTGCATTACTCCTCATAGAATAGAGAAAACTCTTACTCTGAGTGTTTAAATGTGCATCTCAACTATCAAAGCTCTGAAAAAGTGTGTGAATTGAATGACTGATGCCTTACAAAGCAATTATAGTACATATTCAATAGTACAAATTTTATTTCCTCAGAAACACGTAAAACGAATTTATCGTCAAAATAATTTGTAATGGAGTTTTCCTCGTTGAAACTGCTGGAAATAAAACTGACTAGTAGCATTATTGCGAAGACATCTTTCATATAACTGCTGCCTTGAAAATTTTTGTTGAATAAAAATGCACGCCGTCAAAACTTATATTTATGAACCTGAAATAAAAGAATGATAAACTAAACTCAAAGCATCAGAATACATAGCTTGCGCTTGATTGCAGCATGAGGACCTCACTGTACTGAAGAGATAAACTTTTCATCAACCTTCCTCCCAGTCTACGTCTTCATCGTCATCTGCTGGCCCATCATCAGCTTGAACATTCAAATCATTGACCTTGTAACTTTCATTTCCATTACCTTTATAAAAGCACCAGATAACAAATTAGTGATACAAAAAAAACATAACCTATACTAAGAAAAAAGAGGGATAAATTCAAAAAGAAATTCAGACCGGGACAATCAAAGTTAGTGTTGAAAAAAGAGAAGCGAGAAACATGATTATTGTGTCTCAATTATGCAGCAAAAGTCATGAGTACAAGGATTTACAGTTATCCTAATGATCATAAATATATAACATACAGTCAGCAAATAATTATATGAGTTAGGATCTATAGACACCAAAATTAAATTTTTACACTTTACAATTTAATAACTTTCTATAGAATGCAAGATTGATCAGTCTAACTGTTAAATTATATATTATCTTCATAATCATGAATATCAAATTCCACATAATTTAGACATATATAGGTATGTTATCAAAAATTTGATATTTACTTATATTTTAAAAAAATATTACCGGTTAAAATAAAGTAATGCGATGAAATATTTATTAATTTTGTTCTAGTATAAATTTTTATAAAATTTATCTACTTAATAAGAAGCTTCAAACCAATGGTTGGATTAGTCAATCTTACATTTTATGAAAAGTTAATGAATCCTGACTCTCCGTATATATTTATATATATGATGATGATGATGAAGTCAGTAATAATGTCTTTAAATAATATCTTTACCGGATGACATGACAATCTTCTTCTCATGGACCACTAGATTCGAAGCAATATAGAAAGCCACTAAACTGTCATTTGTATAACTCCTTAAACCTCAATTCTTTGAACAATTATTTGAGTCCATATTGTTCACGTGTCCGAAGCCATGGTATAATATTCTAGTTCTATACTATCTTATAGCAATTTGTTTCTTTCTTTTCTTGTAAATCAAATTAGCATCAATAAAAATGTATATAGAAATGGATCTCCTATCAAAAAGGGAACTTAACTAGTCTTCTATACCTCTTTGAATCTAGAAGCTCTCCTTGCTAGGCAAAAGTTTGGCATTAGGGTCCATAGGAGTCTACAAGTTTAGCACCTATCAACCCTATTTCTTCTAAATTATCTATTGCACTTCTCTGAGAAATCATAATATCATTCTTGGATTGTGCCACTCTATCCTTAAAATGTATCAAAGCTTGCCAAGATTTTCCATTTGAAAATGGCAACAAAGATGTTGCCTTTATTTATGAAATGCATGGCAATCATTGCTTGTAATGACAATGTCATTGTTGTACAAAACCAAGATAACTGATAGGAAATTTAGTGATCAGATATAACAAATAGTTGAACCATGATACTAAATTTGCTAAACTATGTCCTAGGGAATTTTTGAAGACCATCCAAGGATTTTTAGTTATGATATACTAGTCTTGACTCCTAAAATTTCCCTGATCAACAAATCACAAAGGTTGCTCTATACAAACATTCTTGATATCAAGCAAGTAAAGTGGTGAGTGGCAAATAACAGCCATAGACAAGAAAAAAACTAACAGGCTGCTTTAGCTATGAGAGATGTCACCATAATCAGTCCAAATATTTGAGTATATCCTTTGGCCACTAAACGAGTCTTAAAAGCTAACTGTACCATAAGGACCAACCTTTACCATGAAAATTTCCCTACGACCTACAATAGATTTACCTCGACAAAGGGGAATGAGGCTCCAAGTAGTGGTGCTGAATCAACGGCTCATGCATGTACAATAGAAATTATGTGGCAAAAAATAGTGTCACATCAGAAAACTAGAGCTTGATGATGTTTCTAGAGGCTGTGAGGACAAGACCAGCAGGGATAGGCTGGCCTTGATTAGACACTGCTAATCTGGTGGTTGTTGACTAGTGATAAGAAAGGCAATTGGGGCTTCATAAAATTAGTACACAACAAGGAGGCCAAAAACCAGAGGGGGAAACATGGTTTTTGGCAGAAAAAGATATTTATGGATTGGGGTTGCCTCTGCTTGGCTTTAGATACCAGGTTGAGAGAGAAGGGAAGCAAGAAATGATGAAATCTGTGTCTCAATAACACAACTGAGGATATTATACAACATACAATCAGTCCATAATAATGCCCTATTTACATTATTTCTAATTATCAGAATTTTGGTGATAGATGACAGCCATTCTGGACAGTGTTCAAAGAAATAATAAACAAGCTAAGCTACCTCAGATAGCCACATCAACATTTTAACATTTTGCTCTCGAATTAGTAAATTAAATTAATTTTCTTGGGTCTGATTGTGAACTTAATGGGTTGATCCCAAATGAGTTTCAATTATTGTAGAAAGGGGAAAATTGGACCCACTGCAATCTGAGCACAATCGTTGAATTAATAGGCCAAGCGCAATTGCATGGGAGTCCCTTATCCATCAAATTGCATTTACTTTGTCATATTTCCCAGTTGAAGAAGCTAACGAGCATAGCTATTTATGAACTGTTCATTTTTTGGTTCTAGAATTTCAACCTTGAGGACAAGATTGAGTTCCAACATCGGAGGAAAGATCTCTCTTATTTCAGTTCAATCTCATTCTACCAGTCAAATCTTTCTTCTCTTTTAGCCAATTATGTTCTTGGTTCATATCAGAAGCTTTGGGTAGCTTGAACGAAGGGTGCTTATTTTAAGGCATAGTTTTGGGTAGGGAAGCTGCTCAGAAGAGGGGTATAGAGGTTGAAGAAAATCATGCAAAGGAGAGTTTCTAGCAATTGTGTTGATTATGAATATGTTCCAAATTAACTAAGAATTTATTTCCTCTCCATATAGCAGTTTCTTTTCCTACTCTCCCAAAGTATAGTGATCCTTTGTCTTAGGCCCCTCCTTTTTCAGTCTAATGTACAATAAGCATCCATTTAATCCACATAGGATGCATAACCTCCATGTAGGCAACAACAACAACTTTTCAAGGGGATGTAACAAAAGGACTATATGGGGAAAGTAATAAAAGAGATCAAAATAATATTGCTATATTTAGATTGAATAAAAGCATATTTAGGTCTAAAATCAATTTCACACACAAAACACGGGAAGTCCTTTAGATTTTCACCATACAAATTATTTTTCAAAATGTATACTTGGTTCCATTTTAACCTATAATTACAGTCATTATCACCTCCATAGCAATCACCACCCATAGCTACTACCACTACAACTGTATTCCAACCTCTACCAAACATCAACAAGGATCATATTACATCATCCCCTCTGAACTTAATGTTTATAGTTAAAGTCAAAAAAAGAATTGTAACCAACTGATTCTAAACAAACTAATTAATTTGCTACTAGTTCTCGGTTGACCCTGAGAACATGGGTTGGAACATTTACCAACCGACCTTTGTTTCTTTAATAAGGATTGAAAATTAATATATAAAAATTATAATAAAAGAGGCACAATAAAATAATATTCCAAATATACAAAGTGAAAAGCAATATTGGATTTGAATCACTCATTCATACAATAAACAATTATAGGCATTAATTTGTAGTTTTAAAATTTGAACATCAACAACCATAATGCCATCTCTAGATAAATAGTTGAATATTAATTGTTTTTGAAAAACTCAATTTCCCTAGAAAGGCATGTTCAACCCCAACTGAACCTCTGCCACTTGATCTTTTCTATTTTCTGATAGAACTTCCTCTTGTTATTAGAATTAAGCAAATTACAGGGATGATCCCTGAGTACAAGTAGCGAAAAGAAAACAATAGCAAGCAATCAACACAAATGATGATCTTATCCTGTGACAGCAGCCACCCTGATTACCCCCAAAAATCCTCCTATCCCATCTCCTCCTTTCAGCCCCTCTAATATCCATTCCTGGGCTAGATTCCCATATCTTTCTCCTCTCTCTTTTCTTGACACGTATGCAGTTTGTTAAGGCCCTGCTTAACCGTTTTCATTCCAGCATTTCCTATTTTGCCCTTCCTCCACTGATATGTCTTCAGTGGAGGCCCTTTTTGTCCAGTCTAATCATTTTCCTAATCAGTGAACACTGTCCTCCAAATTCAGATGTTAAGCGATCCCAGTACTGTGTCATTGTGGTTTGTAGCAAGCATCTATCAATCTTAATTTGACACACTAAAGGTCTAAAGTCTAAACATGACTATAAGGTGATAAGAAAAAAGGTTTCAATCATTTGATTAAAATGTGCAAGCAATAATATAAAAACCTCTTAATGAAACAGTATCACAAAAAGTATAAAATATTTCTTTGTTTTTAACAAAACTATATACGTAAAAGATGAACATAAATTTTATTGATCCAAGGCTTGCTCTGATCATATTGAGCTGACTAAAATTACCTGCAATTGGAGTCTCCTCCCATTCAGTACCATCATCATCTTCTTTTCCTTCCTCAAGTTTTGATTTCATGCCCACTTTACGATTAGAAGCACTGCTAGAAGGATCATCTGCAACAAGGGTATTTGACAACTCCTGTTTTCTAGCAGCTTCCAATTCATGTTGTTGCTTAAGCAAAGCAGCATAATAAGCTTTAATATACTCATCCTAAACAACACACAATAAAGCACGGATTCTTAACAAATAAAAGTTTTTGGAACCTTCAGACAGAAAGAACAAGGAACTGAATTGAAAAGTTGTAAATGATTAAGAGAAAAACAAATTTGTTCAACATGTAATGCATGCCTGTATATTTTTCTTATCATCATGTTCAACTGTTGACTTCTTGTCATCTGAGTACTGTGCTGCTGTGGAAGTTGAAGTTCCATCCATCTTTATTTCCTGCTTCACCTCTCCACGTTGTTCCTTTGTAAGAACCATCCCAGATTTAATCATCCACGGTGGCAAAACCTTTAGAGATGTACTTTCAGTTTCAGGCTTAACATCCTCTCCGTTTCCTTCATTCTCATTGAAGTCTACCACAACCTGTTCAAATCCAGCAGTAGATTCCACAGCATGTTAGGGTAGAAATGCTCAATGCCTAAATTAAAATTCACGTAAGAAAGCTCATTATAGAACAATTTGGGAGCAACCAGGCATCATCCATCATATTTATCACCAGCATGTTAGGGTAGAAATGCTAAGTGCTTAAATTTAAAATTCACATTAGTGCAATATAGAACAGCTTGAGATCAAGCAGGCATCATCCATCATATATATTCACATATCACACACACACACACAATCTCACAGTACATTAGTTTATACAATATATTGGATTTACCTATGAATGTGTTTTTCCATAGATGTTATTTCAATATTCTTTCATATACAAGCATTTCGTATCCTTTTTTAGTTTTTTGTGTAACCAATCATTCATCTTAGCATGTAGTCATTTACTATCATAAAAGATAGTTGGTTATATAGCAGTATGATCAAAATTTCCTTAAAGTTTAATAGGTATTTTATGACTACGAATAACTCATTTTCTTTCTCCATTTTAACCACCTAAATTGTCAATTATGTGTAACAACTTCATTAATTTCTCCAACATTCTATATCGATATCCCAAATACCTTTAAGGCATTATCATCATCTTATTTCTTGCTAAAATTGCAATGCACATTGTTTGTTTGGCTTTTACTCAAGCAAAAATCCAAAGTTTGCCTCCAAACCGCAAGTTTAGAGTTAACACTTTCTTTTGATTCCTCAATCAAAACTATGTGAAAAGCATGCACTTAGGGATAATTATTTGTCACTTATAAACACATTTAAGACTAGGTTAACCAAGTAAGAACTCTAAGTTGAGCCCTGATGTACAACTATCCCAATAAAGAACTCCTTGAATACATCCCCAAGAGTTCAAACACTTATAGTTAGTTACCCCATTATACATATCTTATATTGCTGAATATATATCACACGAACCCTTTTTTAATCTAAAGCCTTCCACAATATTTTTCTTGGCATATGATCATATTCTTTTCTCTGTGTCAATAAAAGCTGTCAACCTTTCCTTTCCAAGTCCTTTTCTTTGTGTTAGTATTTTTTCATCAATTTTCTCCAAAGATATATAAATTTTGTTGTAGACCTCTTTAACATAAAACCAATTGATTCTCTACAATCATAATTTCTTCTTTTAGTCTATATTCAATTACCTTTTTTTATTACTTCATAGTGAGATTCATAAGTTTTATTACATTGTAATTTGCACAATTCTAAATATTGCCCTTATTCTGGTATATAGGGACAAAAGTGGTCTTCTTTAGCTCATGTGACAAATTCTAACATCTCAAAATCTCATTAAAGAGATTAGTGAGCTAACAAATATCTTGCCCTCTTATACATTTCCAAACTGCAATAGCAAGACCATCAAAGCCAACAACATTAACATATCAATCATTGTAAGAACTATTTTTACCTCTCAATAAGAATACCTTGTTAAGTCATTGACCAAAAGCAATGAATTGTACAACTCGAGTACATTGTCAAATATGCAAGGGCCATTACATCGCCTCCTGGATGTAATGAAAATTAAGGGTCCCCACAATTTCAAGAATGGGTAAGGGTAAATAAGTTAGTTTGCAAAAGTAGGATTCACTACCGAACAAGTAGAAAACCAAGTATGAGGTAAATCAACTCAGGCTATTTGTGATATCTTCAAACAGACCATTCCATGGCTTATCTTCTCCAACCCAATGCAAACACTAATCACTTAGCAGTAGCTTGAAATGTGCAAATCCACTCATGGGCAGGTAGTCAACTTCATTGACTAACACTAGGCTTGTCCTCATCCTCCATCAACCACGCCATCTACAATTCTTACTCCAACTTCAATTCTACCTTTACCCATTACAACGAAGGTATGTAGCTTCTCATCCATGTTTGGTCAGCCATTTTCAATGCATTCATATGAAATCAAGCAACATAGTTCACAAATGTTAAAATAAACATAAATTTCTCAAAGACTAAAATTCTAAATGGATTCTAATGGTTGAAAAACATTTTAATCTTATATGAATTTCATATTGTATTTAACAAAAATGTGTAGTTTAAGTATTTGAGCGTAAGGTATCGCCTACAAGATGATTCAAAAAGAATAGACAGTTCAAAAGGTTCAACAATTCCAAAACAACATATTCAAATATCAAGAACATGAATAAAATAAATTATAAAAATTAGTTGACCAAGGAAGTAGAGCCATTAACAAGAAGAGCAACATTATAGTGATTTGAAAGATACAAAAGCGCCTTTGTAGTTTATACTCATTTCTCATGCTTTGCACTAAAATAGTAAAAAGACAAAAGGAAAAGAACAAAGAACACTTTTAGTGCAGTAAAGGATCTGCTTGTATCAAAAGACTATTAAAAGAAGAAATCCGTTAAGGTTAAGGATATGTGGATCATTGTTGTCAAATAACTATTATGGCAGCGCCATAACGGAAATTGGTGGCGGTTTTCATGCCTCCGTTATGGGCATGGCATTTTTCAGTTGCCAACATTACACGCATGGTGGTAACAGCGGCCATGGCAAAAAAATGGTGGGTTTTGCAAAAAAATGGGTTTTTTTGCCAAAAAAAAAAAATGGGTTAGGCCATGGGCCCTATCCAGTCGAATGAAAGAACCCGCAAGCCCAACCCTAATAATAATCGTTGCCTCTCTTCTTCATCTCTCATTTCTCTCTTCTTCGTTTGTGGTTCAGTTTTCATCTTTTGCTCTTTGTTTTCATCGGGATTTTGGGTCCTCTTCAATTCTTGTTTTTCTAGCAACTATTGCTGCTGCAGCTCCAACTACGACTGCTCCACTTCAATCCCTATTTTTCCAGCAACTTCTCCTACGGCTCTGGTGATTGCTCCTCCATTTTCTTTTATAGCCTTTTTTTTTTCGTTTTTCCCCCTCCCTCTTTCACTTTTTCTTTGTTTCCCTCATTTCAATTTTTCCCTCTCTATCTTTCAGTTTTTCCCCCTCCCACATCAGAAGAAACATAAGATGAATTGAAAATTAATCTTTAAGAATCTAAAGGAGAAGAGGAGGAGAGATATGCCTTGGTGAATGATAAAGATGACTACATTGGAGTTGAAGAAGAGAATTAGATTGATAATCTTTATGTTTTTATTGTTAATTTGACACTTTATGACTATTTATTTTGTATTGAATTATACTTTGAATTGTGGGTTATGCTATTTATGTTATGAGTCAATTTTTTTCTACCATTTCCTATGACCTATAATATTTTTATATATTTTATTATATCTACCATAACCGGGCATGGTGGCCGTGCTGGACACACACACACACACACATATATATCTATGCAATGTCTCGGTGTCCTATATTTTAGACTTTAGTTGTATCAGAGTGTATATGTATGCAGAGTTCATTAGTGTTAATGGAGGGAAAGTATAATTATGTGGAGGATAAGATATCTGTAAAGAAAAAAACAAGATAAAAAAAAATTGAAATAACCAAGAACTCAGTAATTAGCAAGGCTGTAACAGCCTAGTTTATTTACATGTGAGAAATGGTAAGCATTAAAACAGGAAACTCTTACCTTAGTATCTCCACTATAAGGCATTGGTGCTCCATTGTATCCAAGCTGAGAAAGTTTAGAATCACCAACTCCAATTTCGCCATTGGCTGCACGCCCCATAGCACTAGCTCGAGCTTCCCACGCTTGAAGACTGCCAAATTCAGGAACAGGCAAATCTTTCACTCGGCTGAGTTGGTCTATTAAGGGCTTGAGCTGCACCTGCAACCAGTTTCAACTTTTTTAACTCTTGACAATAATAGAATTCAATCTATTGATGATCAATTTATATATAGTTTGAACCAAGATAACAATAAAAAAAAGGTAGGAGTTTGTGATGCAGTACATAAGAGGTTTCATAGTCATTGTTAGCAAGTAGTCAAATCGAGCTGAGCTTACACTAGCTGTACTATACTGGACTAGTTATTACTTATAAGTAGGCAGTTTTTTATAACATCCTGCCGCTCACATAATATTATTATCCAGTTCTCATTTTTCTTCTTGTTTCCATCAAATCCCTATTATTTCAAAAGGTGATGAAACATTACATACAAATTAGATTGTGGACCAGAAATACCAACAAATAAAGGCTAGCATAGTGTAGTGTATGGTAGAAGTTAAAGAAAATTAAATATGATTTCTGATAGCTGTAAGATATTAGATATCTAGATGAACTTCACGAAATAAAAGTAAATAGATAATTTTACAAGTTTTAAACATAAGAGCACAACAAGGAGTCACCGAAACTATCCAACAATATCAAGTCATCAGTAATTTTCAATTTTTTTATGGATTAAAAGGACTAGTTGGGAGTTTCATTAAACAATTATAACCTCCAGAAGATTTTCAAGCTATGAAGCACAAACACCTCTTTTGTTTCAAGTGCAACAGTGTCAGACATGTTTCCAACACCAACACTTGTTTGACACATGTTAAATCCTCCTCATTAGGTGTTCAATTAAAAAATTATTTTTTTCGCTTAGACACCTAAACTGACATTTCAATATAAATGAACACACATGAATATTATTAAAAAATCATTCTTTTCACTTTTAAAAAAATCAGTTTAAAATTTAATGTAAAATATAAAAAACTGATGCTTCTTTATTTATTTTGTTTTTGAAGGTTCATTATCACAGAAAAAAATATATAAAACTTAGTATATTTGTTTGAGGAGGTAAATATGACATATTTTTATATTGTTTTGAGATTTTTTTGTATAGAGACATATATACATATGATAGGAACTGAGATTATATTGAAATAACAGAACCAACACAAGAAAATTGCCTGAGATTACAAGCAATAAAGATGGAAAAACAGAATAATGGAACAGAATACAGCAATCTAACGAGCCAGTAATTAGCAAGAGCAATCCTCCTATAGCCTCAACTATCCCAATGACCTCCCAGATATTTCCTGCCAATCTAACGAGCTAGTAATTAGCAAGAGCAATCCTCCTATAGCCTCAGCTATCCCAATGACCTCCCAGATATTTCCTGCCTCACGTCTCTAGTGATTCACCCTATATTTCTCTCAGCTCCTCCTCACTCATCCATGTCATTTAGTTTGTTATTCCGTTAGAATCTTCCCTAACAGTCTCAGCCTCTCTGTCTATTTTACCCCTCTTTCTCTGGTATGTTTTTAGTGGAGGTCCATTTAGCTTGGGCCCAACAATACCGCCCCCACTAAGAGGAACCTTGTCCTCAAGGTTGAAGTGTGGAAATATGGCCTGCAGGATATCTAATTCTTCCCAAGTGCTGTCTTCGCTAGGCAAGTTCTTCCATTTTATCAGGACCTCCCAACGACCATTCAGGAGTTTCTGGGCATCCAGCACCTTTTCTGGCTCGACTTGGAGCTCCCATTCTTCTGTTAAAAACTGGGATAGCGCCTGACTGGCTTGACTAGTCAGAGGGGCCTTCTTGAGTTGGAAAACATGGAAAATAGGATGCAATTGGGATGATTCTGGTAGTGATAATTTATAAGCCACAACCCCTATTTTTTCTTCCACACAAAAAGGGCCACAAAATCTGGGGCTCAATTTTTCATTGGCTCTTTTTGCCAATGACTTCAATTTATATGGTCTAGCCTTCAAGTACACCAAGTCCCCAATCTGATATTCCACCTCTCGCCTCTTTTTGTCTGCCTGCTCCTTCATTCTTCAGTTTGAGGATGGTACGCGGAGCTGAACTTTAATTTGGTGCCCGAAAGATGAAATAACTCCTTCCAAAATGAACTGATGAAAATTCTATCCCGGTCTGAGATTATGGATGTAGGAAATCCATGCAAACGAACTATTTCTTTAACAAATACAATGGCTACCTCCTTAGCTGAATATGGGTGAAGCAAGGGAATGAAATGGGCATATTTGCTTAGTCTGTCCACCACCACCATAATGCTGTCAGCTCCCTTGGTCTTGGGCAGTCTCCCAATAAAATCCATTGAGATGTCATCCCCATACATGCATTGGAATGGGCAGCGGCTGCAGGAATCCGGTAGGCCTCAAGGTTTCGTATTTGCTGTGTTGGCAAATCTGACAGCCAGCAACAAACTTTTCCACATCCTGTTTCATCCCTGTCCACTAGAAAGCCATTGCCAACCTTTTGTATGTCCTTGTGACCCCAGAATGGCCCCCCCAAGGTGTTGCATGGAATTCAGTCAGCAATAATGGAATGCGGACAGACTCCCTAGGGAGGACCAGCCGCTGTTTGTACCACAAGCAACCCTGAGAAACTGAATAATGTGGGTGAGAGTTGGGGTATGCCACTACTTGCTGCATGGTTCCCTTCAAAACTTCATCTCCAAGGATTTCCTCAGCCAAATCGACTAAGTCTGCGTTAGTCAGCATGGATATAGCATTATAGTTCAGCACCCTAGATAGTGCATCGGCTGCCTTGTTTTCTAGCCCGGGTTTATACTGAATCTCAAAGTCGAAACCCATCAGTTTGGTTACCCATTTCAGCTGTTCTCCTGCCAAAACATGTTGTTCCAATAGGAACATCAAGCTCTTTTGATCGGTTCGGATAACAAAATGATTGCCCATCAGGTATTGGCGCCATTTCTGAACAGCGAACACGATTGCCATTAATTCACGTTCATAGACAGATTTTACCTTATTTTTGTCTGATAGAGCTTGACTAATTTAAAACTGCCCCTATTCCATACCCGGATGCATCTGTCTCAATAACAAAAGGAAGATCAAAGTTGGGCATAGCTAGAGTAGGCAGAACCTCCATCTCTCATTTGAGTTGTTCAAAAGCCATTTGTGACTCCTCTGTCCATTTGAAACTATTCTTCTTAAGCAGATGAGTGAGAGGTTTGGCCATAACACCATAATTTCTAACAAAGCGGCGGTAGTACCCAGTTAAACCCAAGAAACCCCTCAAACTGCGAATGTCCTTAGGTGCTGGCCATCGTGTCATTGCAGAAATCTTGGCAGGATCAGCAGCGATTCCCGCAGAAGATATTATGTGCCCCAGGTACTCCAGTTGTGTTTCTTCAAAATTGCACTTCTTACCATTGATCCATAGCTCCTAGCTTCATAACACTTGAAGAACTACACCCAAGTGGTCAATGTGGGAAGAATAGTCTAGGCTATACACTAAAATATCATAAAAAAAAACTAACACAAATTTGCATAAATAAGGTTTAAAAATCTGATTCATCAAGGATTGAAAAGTGGAGGGAGCATTGGTTAACCCGAAGGGCATTACCACATACTCGTAGTGTCCTTCATGCGTCCGAAAGGCTGGTTTAAGTATGTCTTCTGGCCTCATGCGTATTTGGTGGTAACCTGATTTTAGGTCAAGTTTAGAGAAGACTGTAGCTCCTCCCAATTCATCCAACGGTTCTTCAATGACCGGAATGGGAAACTTGTTTGGGATGGTAATACTATTAAGGGCTCGGTAATCCACACAAAAGCGCCACCTACCATCTTTTTTCTTGACTAGGATCAATGGGCTCGATTAAGGGCTGGTATTGGGTCTGATCAAGCCTGCTGCCAACATATCTCTCACGAACCTGTCGGTCTCTTCCTTATGCCAATGAGGGTGCCGGTAAAGACAAATATTAGGAATAGTAACTCCTTCCTTTAAGACGATGGCGTGATCACATTCCTGTGGAGGAGGGAGGGTGGTTCCCTCCTTAAACAATTCACCAAACTCTCAAGAGTTCCTTCATTGCCTTTGGAGCTGTCGGTGCCACCTGAGTGGGCAATTCTGTATACCCCACTGTAATCATACCCAGTTCTACATAATAAGCCTCAGCCTCCCCTTTAAGCTCCTTCCCGATAGCCTTTGATGACGCCACTGTTCGAGACAGCCCCACATCCCCTTTCACCTCAATAATTCTCCCTTCTTTGTGCACCTCGATCAAGTGTTGGCGCAAATCAGCAGTGAACTTCCCCAAGCTCTTGAGCCACTCATATCCCAGTATCACCTCCACTCCTACCAACTTGAATAGGAAAAAGTCCTGAATGACTTGCAGGTTGGGTAGTTCCAACACCACTCCCCTACAAACACCTTGGCTGCCCAACCTTTGACCGTCTCCTACCTCCACAAAATACCCTTTTGTTGCCTCTGTGGGAATTTTTAACTCTTCCACAAGACTCGGTGACAGAAAATTATGGGAGGCTCCTGAGTCCACCATCACGATTACCTTCTTCCCAGTGATTGTTCCCCACATTTTCAAGGAGTTCTTTGAGGTCATACCTGCTATACTACTTGCATTTAGCTGGAGACTAACATCCCCTGTTTCCTCCTCCCCGGAGATGTCATCCCGAATCGCGTCCTCTTCACCCAATAGGATGACGTGGAGCTGTTTATTGCGACATACGTGGCCGGGTGAATACTTCTCGTCGCAGCGGAAGCAAAGCCCCCTTCGTCGCTTCTCATTCTCCTCTTCCTCTGACAAGCGTTTGCAGTTAAGGCCTCTGCGGTTTGAAGAGGCGACCAACAGATCACGAGAAGCATTTGGGCTCCTTTGTGGCTCAACCCGACTGCCACTGGGTAAGTAAGAAACCCTAAGCCCGTAAGGAGAAATGGGCTCATTCCTTCTGGTCCAGCCTTGTCTAGGTGTGTATTGGGCTCCGCTTGTTTCAGCCCAATATGGCTTAAGACTTGTTGACCCGCTCCCTTTAGATGACAGCCCAAAGGAAAAGCCCAATACCTTATTCTTCTCTTCGACCCTCTGAGCCAACTCCATCACTGTGCACAAGTTCCCAGAGTCTCTAATCCTTACCTCGGCCTTAACTTCTTCCTTCAGACCATTGAGAAAAACTCCGATCATAAACTCCTCATCGGCGAAGCGCAGCGAGGCAGAAAATAACTCAAATTGTTCTCTGTATTCCAAGACCGTTCCCCTCTGTTTTAACCCTATTAAGGCTTCGTAGGGGTTCTCCAAGGAAGATGACCGAAAACGCCCTAACTGAGCTTGTCGGAACGCAGGCCATAAGGGTGTCGGAACCCACAGTTCCCACCATTGGTACCAGTTGAGTGCCTTCCCTTCCAAACACACCACCGCCGCATCGACTTTCTCAGCTTCTGGAATACCATTTACTTCGAAATATCTCTCTACCCTATACACCCACCCATAAGGGTCTTCTCCCGAGAAATAGGGCACTTCCACTCACCTCACCCTTTCCTTCCTTCTCCAAGTGTCACCTTCACCATTGCCACCCTCTTGGTTACCGTGCGTACCCTCCCTTTCCGCCCTCACAACTTGTAAAGCCGACTCTAACCTGGTCGTTATTTCCGTCATCATTTCTTCCATTTGCCTTCTAAACTCCTTCCGTATAGCGACCTGCATACCCTCCAGCCTAAGTTCGACGTTCTCCAACCTATTCTCCATTCTGGTAGTTACCATCAGGCGCTCCCAAGATCGGGAGCTCTGATACCACTTGATAGGAACTGAGATTATATTGAAATAATAGAACCAACACAGGGAAATTCCCTGAGATTACAAGCAGTAAAGATGGAAAAACAGAATAATGGAACAGAATACAGCAATTTAACGAGCTAGTAATTAGCAAGAGCAATCCTTCTATAGCCTCAGCTATCCCAATGACCTCCCAGATATTTCTTGCCTCATGCCTCTGGTGATTCACCCTATATTTCCCTCAGCTCCTCCTCACTCATCCACGTCATTTAATTTGTTATTCCGTTAGAATCTTCCCTAACAGTCTCGGCCTCTATGTCTATTTTACCCCTCTTTCTCTAGTATGTTTTTAGTGGAGGTCCATTGAGCTTGGGCCCAACAACATATATACTCCTAGAGTCCTATATTATAGACGTTAGCATGTTGAATTGTCTGATGTCCATATCAGAGTATGTGCTTCATAGTTTTCAAGTATGTTTTTTAGATTAGACAACTACTACAACACTTCTACCAGGAAAAGAAGCAGGTTCACTAGGGTTATTTGCTTTAAATTCATCTTAAATTTTATAGTGGAAAACAAAATAATTTTTACATGAAAATTAGCTTAAATACTTTTTTTATTACATATCTAGATGTCATTATTTTTATTTACTTATGAATCGTGAAAGTCTCCTTTCTAGTTTTGTTCCTCCATCTTATAAGCCAATATACATGGTTATATTTGCTTAGACTTTGAAGTAAAATTATGATGGAATGCATGTTTTATGGAAAAAACTTTAAATACATTCCCTACAGTATTTTTTATTTTGTTTTCCAATTGAACCCTACTATCAAAAAACTTAGGTCTAACTCTAAAATCTAGAACTGGACATATGTGAGTAGCCCAACATTTAAACTGGATAGGCTCTGATTCCATGTTAAGAAATTTGGGTCTAAAATTTGGGTCTAACCCACTTTCAAAAGTTAGCTCATAGAAATAGGACTACCCTAACCCTTATAAAGAGTATTTTGACTCTATTCCTAATCAATGTAAGACATCTTAACACCTACAATTTATTTATTTTTCCATATAAAAACTAACATAAAAATTTTGTAATATATAAGGACCACAACGAAAAAAATTTGTTATGTACAAGGACCAAAATAAAAAAAAAATGTTTAAATATAAGATAACAATATTATAATGAAAGTTAACAGTATAGACTATTTTAATACCATTTTTTCATTTAAGAATTAAGACTTATTTACAAACTTTTCTTATATAGGAATCAAATAAAAAATTAGTGTTTCATGTAGGGACCCAAATAGTATTTGAAACAAAAATGTAAAATTTAGTGTGTTGGTTAGAAAAGATGAATATATCTTGTTTTAAAAAAGTATAATTTCATCTTATTTTGAAATTTTTCGTAAAGTGACCTAAGTGCTTATATTGTATAATGTCTCTTAATATGTGTGTGTGTGTCCCAGTGTCTTATGTAGGACATTATATGTGTGTGTGGGTGTCTCTTATACTTTAGACATTGGTTGTGTTGAAGTGTCTATGTTATCTATACTTCATAGGCAAACAGTAATGATGCTAGAAAGTTTTGTTAGTCATCATAATCTTCAAGGACAATACTACTAGACAAAACCACCCCAATTGTAACATATTCCTTGTAGAGTTACTGGAGAAGACAAAAGGAAAGTGGTGGTGGTGATGAACAAAAATAAAGGACGGATGACAGTGCACAGCTTGAAGGTTGATTTGATTTTAGTTTCGGGCTTATGCTGATTAGGTTGATTCATAAGGTTTAGGATTGGTTTTGTTACAATTTGAGAATTGGATTTGGGAGGAAAAGCTAGCAAGCTAGCAGCAGACATTACTCACAACTTTACTTGGTAATTGTGGATAGAGGATAGCTTGTGGTGGAAGTGAGTACCTGTTTGCTCTATTCTTCAGAGTTATTCTCTATTTGTGGAATAAAGGTGTCTTCCAAATATTCATCAATGGTGGTTCCATTTGTTTGGTTGATAGGAGTTGAAACTATAAAGCATTTAACGGTAGAGGTAGAGAATGAGTTTGAATTTTCTTTAGGACTGAAGACAAAGGGAAGCAAGTTGCAGACACGGAGAACCATGGGAAATAGGATGTGCAAGACACACTCATGGTGTTATAAGTTATAACATTGGGTAATGCCAGGGAGCATTTTAAAAACAATTTCTTGCATAGGGACTCTAAATTTAGGCTTGGCCAAAATCAACCAAAAAGCTAGTTATTCATAAGGTAAATATTGTTTTAATCTTAATAGGCTCTACTTTGACCATATTTGTAGTTGATGTGAGATTTCCACAAGTTCCTTCACACTTCGGATTGGACATCTGGGGCATGAAAATTATAGGACTAATCATTTCAATTAATTGTACTTTAAAAGGCATTGGACCAGGGAACTGCACTAAGAAAGCAACGGGATTAAATTAGACTAACTCAATACCACAAGTTAAGTGCACTAGAAAACTCTGTGGGATCAAGTTTTTTATTCCAGTTAAGGGTGGATATCTAATCTAGATTGACTTTGATATCATCATGAACTCAAGCTTGATCGATCCCACAAATTAGGTCAAAATGAGGATTTTCATAAGCCTTTACATGGTCTACTTTGGCAATTCTACAAGCTTTATTCTTTTAGGGACCAACTCAAAAATTGGTGTCAACTATAGAGACCAAAAATAGCTCTAAACCTACATTAAATAATCCAAGATATACAGCATATTCATCCAAGATTAGCAATTGATATGATTGGAATATCAAACTAATTTCTGTTCCAGAAGCTTTATTTACGATAAATTGAAAAGGTCTAACATATTGCAAACTGAGAGCAGAATAGGATAAATTTTGGGGAAGCAGATCAAAAGATGAACCTCAACAGATTACTTAACAAACAAAGGTAACAAATCTAAACAAAAGGATCTATAATATCAAGCCCATAAAAGAAACAAATAACAATTAAATCATCAAAGAACCTCCATCTTCTGAAGCATGTCTTTCAACTTTTCATGCCGTCGTCTTCTTGCATTATCATCTCCATCTCCCCCCTCTTGAGCAGCAAACTTGTCACTCTCTACCTCAAGTCTTCCATTACAATTTTCACAATGAAAGTCATCGTCTTCAAAAGATACTAACCGTAGTGCATCCAGAGCATTGTATCTAAAATAATTAATATCCCCAAATATTAGGGAAACATAAAGCAAATAGTGATTAGGGGTGAGCATGGATTAGATTTGTATAAATCCAATCTAAATCCATTTTAAATCTAATTATGTAGATTGGATTTTAAACCAATTTATATTACTTTTTTAAAATTTGGATTAAAACTGGTTTCAAAATTTAAATCCAGTTTAAAATTAGTTTTAATAATATATTTTCTTAACATAGCAAAATTTATATATATATATATATATATATATATATATATATATTTATAATATTCTATATATAATATTATTACAAATTAATATATTAAAAATATTATTATAAAATATAAAATTTACTTATCATAAAATAATTAAAATATAATTTTTAAAATATATTTAGTAAAAAAATATATTTTATTTTATATGTATATAAAATTTATATATATATATATATATATATAAATCAATTAGATACCGCAAGAAACAAAATTTAACTAAGTGAAAAGCATATATTTAGACGCATAAGGCTTGTATAGGGATAGGGACGCTAGAGCTAACTGCTGCTGAAAATAAAGAGCATATGTTTGTGCGCAGGCCTGCATAAGAGCGCTAAAGTGAGTTACCTCTAAAAGCAGAAAACCAGTTATATTAGATTAAATCTAAAATTTATCTAAACCAAAAAAAATTGGATTGGATGTCTGAATTTTAAAAAAATCTAGATTTTTAAATCTAATTTGTTTTAGTTATGGATTGAATCATTAAATCTGGATTTTTTGCACACCCCTAATAGTGATATTGAAATAAATTTGGTATTATAATGAACTACTGAAACCAAACCTTTTTCCACATTTTAGACATATATATTCCTCAATTGTGTTCTTGTTATCCAATTCATCTTTCAGCTTCTTCTTCATGCGATGTATTCTGTACCTAACCATATCATATATCTACAAAAACACCAATGTAAGAATTCTATACATGGAGGACACATAATTTGGTTGTTAACTGACTCAGAAACAGATGCAAGCAAGCATGCAAAATAACATTAATAACCCTTGCCTTGGAAACAAAACCCACAAGCATTATGGAAGACACCCATAGAAACAAATAGTGCGAAGAGATGGACCTGTGCATAATCCAGACAACAGTACGAGTGTGTGTGCAACTTGACCTTTTCTTCTCCCTCTTTTGCATTCAGTTGAACATCAGCTGTAGCAGCTGTAGCAGCACTATAAAGTTTAGCACCCTTTGCTGTCTGGTAAAATTAGATAAAATACAACATTAGAAGAAAATAAGCACATGACTGTTTACAATCATTAATAACTAACACTTCAAATCTAATGATGAAAAATAACAAAAGTCAACAAACATGAAAAGAAGAAAATTCAAATATTGAGACAACTGAATGAAAACTTGTGAAAAGGAAGCCCCTGAATAGCTTAAAAGCCTCGCTGAAACATTGGCAAAAACTGATAAAGATGCCCAAAGACATTTAATGAACGCACAACTACCACCGTTAGGAAAACACTATCAAGTGATTCAAACAAAAGGTTCAAATATTTGACCAAAGAATCATAACTCTAGGATAAGAATTATTAAACAAATTGAATTTTCAGAGACAGACTAAGGGAATAAAAGCTTCAAGTCATGGGCTTAGGAGCTTCAATTCATGAGACAGGAACAAAGGACATGACGGAATGAATCAACAATTAATCTACAACACACAAGTTATGGACTTCAACACTGAGATGAGACATTGTGGCAATTTAGGAAACAGAAAATATTATATGATACCAAATTTAAAAATCAGCTCATGATGCACAAAGATAACACAGGATATGGATTCAATATTACATGGATATGAATATACAACAGCTTTTAGATATTATTGGATAAAATGGCTTTGTCATCTTACAACATATAAATTAGAATAAACATAAAAATACAAATCTAACATTAAGAGAATCATTTTTTTCAAAGTTAACATTAGTGACTATAGAAATAATTAAATGATATTATTTGTTTAATTATAATAATATTTCAATTTATAGTGTACAAAATGGTCAGATAGAAATGTGTCGGACACCACTATGGGAATGGCAAATATTTTGACATGTATGTGCTTCCTGGTCTACAATATTATGACAAAAATCTTATTAGCTGATAACATAAAAAGTTTGCAAATGCAATTGTTCAGTAAAAGATGTGTGAATTGCATGAGGTTAGTAAGCAAGTACACTTAATATTTGGGCTCTTCATGGGTTGGATTGGGTTGAGTTGGGTCTAGAGGGAAAAAATCACCTAAATTAATCAAAATAAAACGGATTGGGTTAGGTCAAGTGTAGTTAATTTTAGTTTTGCTACCCGAACAACCAACTCAAGCAAGGTAAGTAAAGTGACGATTTCTACTCTATTTTCAATCACATAAAAAAAATCATCACACTTTGTGAAAAGTAAGAATTGGATAAGTTATGGCAGAATCCCTTTTATATAATGGTATAAAAATAAAATAGTATAGATAACAACTTTCAGATAACTAAATGTACCACTAGAATTCCTTTTTGACAGGCAAAGTTTGCAAACCTTGACACAGGAAATAGAAGAGAACGAAACAGAAAAAATAAGACCCCAATTTGCCAGTATTTTACAGCATCTTTAGAACACAAGACATGCAATCACAATTGCAAAAAGTAAAATTTTCACAATCTTAAGTAATGTGGTGCTGAGATTCCCCACAAAAACAACAGGTATAAACATTAAAAGTTTGTTGCACCATATCTAAAAACAATTTCGCTGTTCATTTCTTTTGTTCTTAAGTTCCTTAAGTACCCCTGCCTTATAATCTGCTTTAAACTTTAAAAGGAAAATAAAATAAGTTTAAGGGAAATATGATTAGGTCTAGAAAATACCATATCATTACTAATGAGATGATAATTGACAATCAAGACTGTTATTTCCTAAAACTTGTATTGAAAGAAGTCATGCTAAATCATGTACGAAGCATATTTTAGTCAAGGCACATGCCTGTGCTGCCTTAGGTGTGCCTCTCTATTTCATGTGACGCATGGCCCTATCACCTTATTGATGAATTAGTAAGAAGCCCAATGATCTCAACTCATAAATTATAATGCTAAAATTTGACTATCTGCAGTCTTCAAAATTTGGTGCAGTACTTAATTTTCCCTTAAGCTCTTTGACTATTGCCATTGTTGGCTTGTTGATCATGCCTTAGATTGATAGAGATTGAGCTTTTAATTATTTATTTATTACGAATGTCTTTAGTTTTATGTAATTTTAATTTGAGCATTTACATGTGTACAGTATGAATTATTTAACTTATATCTATAATCTTATTTAGATTGTTCATTCTGCTATCTGCAATCCCATTATAGTCTTTTTGGGGTCAGTCACTCCATGTTGTGATCGAGGATCGATAACTATGCTTGAACATAAGAAAAAGTAGTTCAGAAAGATCCATTTGCATATGCTAATAAGCCAGAGTAATTCACAAAAATAGCACCAAAGTAATGCACAGAGAGAACCCAACAGCTACCTCTCTCCTATATTCCCGAGTAATGATCTTTTCTTCTTCAAAAAACCGAAGAGTTCGACGAAGTTGTTTTGTGTGTAATTTGAGATCTTTTGCCAAGTCTTCTTCTCTGACCCATTGCCGCCTAAACAATATTCATAAAACACCAGTAATGAACCAAAAGATTCAATTAAAAGGACACGATACGAGATTCAGGATTCACAGAAAAGATAAACTCAACACTTCCATTATACTTAACAGCCCCAACTTCACTGCACCCTGACCCACCCTACCAAATTAAGAGGCAATGCAGTTAAAATAACACTTTCATGTTCCGAGTTTATGCAGAATCGCTCCTTCATTTTCTCTCCAAAAATTCATTTTTATTCATTCCTTTGTTATTGCATATTCTGCAATAAAAAATGGTTAATCAACAATAAAGGGAGTGAGAGCGAACCGGGTGAGGGCATCAAGAATCACCACAGCGATTCCTCTGTTATCACTCCTTCCCAATTTGGGTTGATTCTCCCCTTTGTTCGTTAGATCATCATAGAAAGCCCTCGCAGCTAGTTTAACCAGCCTACACCAAAATTGAATCCAAATAAAACAAACAAAAATCATAGAGATTCATTTTTCTGTGTTTTGATTGATGATGAAATCGCACGATTTTCAAAATTTTGCTAATTGAATTGGAAGAGAAACTCGTACTTATTGTAGTGATCGACCATCGAAGCGATCTAAGAATAATTTTTGAAGTCGCTTCGACAGTTTGTTTATTCGTTCCGGGGGTTAAATCGGGAACTCATCAGTGAATATTCGATGATATGATTGTGTATGAACCTCCTTTAATGGTGAAAAAACCCACGCCAGCATACACCCTGGCTAGTACTGATCGTGGACCGGGTTTCAGATTTTCAAATAATTACTTGCGGAGTCATAAATGGATTTTTTTGGTACCTGCTAATTAAACGGCGTTAGTGTAGTAGTAAGATATCCGTATATTTAGGTATCTATCTACAAATGAAATTATAAAATTATTTTTATATAATGTTATATTTTAATTATCTTTTTAATATCGTATGAATTGTTTAATTTTCTTTCTAGTATTATGTAAGATAGTTTTTTTTATAATTTTATATTTTTAATAAAGAATTATGAAAACACATGAATTTTATTTATGCAGGTATTTATTATTACCTGTGGCTATTTCGATCCGTTAGCCAGGATTCTTCACCTATGAGAGCAATAGTAGGTCATGTTCGTGTTATCTTATCAAATTTATGTAAATTGCAACTTAGTCCTAGTACAAGGGAGGATTGATTAGTTTAAAAATTTATTGAGTCGTTAATTATTTCAATCATTATTATGAGAAAATATTAGAAAGTATTAAAATTTTAGGATTTTAGCATCTAATTCCCATTATAATAATTAAAAAAAAATAAAATCTTAATGAGCATTAATAAGTGGTTACAAATCTACAACTTACACACAAAAAAAACTCACCATCAATAGAGATTATTCATGGTAATTAAAATGTTACTTAAAATTAGAATAAAGACAAGATTGATAAAAGTAACATTTCCATACCAATACAACAATCTTAAGAAGAGCAACAGAAGACCTAAGTATCAAGACGCCAAAAATGAGTTTTTGGAGTGTAAACTTGGATCGCAATTAGTAAAAATTGTTAGTAAAAATTATTTTGTATAAAACACTAAGAGAGCAGTTAGCATTCAACTGCTCCAATCTAACCTTATTAGGACAGTTCATTTGGAACCGCTCTCTAATGTTAACTTGGAAAATAGTTATTAAATAACCGCTCTTAGAAAATCTATATTTTATAGAGCAGTTGACATGTGGAACTACTCTCTAAAAGATTAGAGAGCGGTTGACACATAGAACCGCTCTAAAAAGTGTAGATTAGAAAGCGGTTATGTCTTAATCGCGCTCTAAAGTTGATTTTCAAAATCAACCCTAACCCCTAAATCTGGTCATCCCTATCCTCACGCCCACTCTGTACCTCCAAATTTCTATGTTCACTGTGTCCTCAGAGGTATTTGCACCACAAAACAAGCACCGTTGACATCGCATTGGCACTTTGAAGTATTTTCTCATTGTTTTTGTGTTTTCTCGCTATGTATGGACATTCGCACTCAAAATTTCTCTTTATTGACTGACACACACCTTTTTTTTTGTTACACTGAATAGTTACAAAAACGTCCCCTACTCCATCCTTTGACTTCAAGTGAACCATGACCAAATTAGTGCCACAACATTATTTCCAGGTTAGTGAGATTGTATTTGTATTTGTGTTTTTTGAATACTACTGCCTACATAAAATGTAAACATTGTGCTACCTTACATAAAATGAAATTGCATTGTATGCTATGAATGAAATTGATGTTATGCCTTATGGAATGTTCTAAATGCATGATTATTGTTGATGTTATGTTGCTAGAAATTATGCTTTGAAATCTTGAGATTCAAAATAATGATTGAATAAATAATTATTTTCAATCTCAAATTGTCCAAGTTGGACAGTTTTTGAACAAAGTTGTTCATTTAGTGGTTAGCAAATGCTTCTGATAATGTTGTATTTAATACTGACAAAAGTTTGGTTTAAAGCATTTCTCATTGTCTCTTGATGCATGCTTGATTAAGGTAAATCATCTCATTTTCAAGTTGTGTACTAAGAGACTAATGTGAAATGCTGCCAAAATTTTATCAAGTATAAAATACAATATTTAAGCAGCAATTGTTAATTATGGTATGAAAAACTTTATTTTCACATGGGATAGGGCCTTACCATGTGAGACTTAATGAGACATTCACATTTGTAATTATCGTAACCGTAGTTAAAGCAAATATGGATCAAAGTTAGATGGTAGCTGATCGTTTGATTGAAGAATATGAAGATGGAGTGAAGGAGTTTATTAGATTTACGATTAAGCATGCAATTGATATCAATCTTATTCTATATTGTTGTTGGTGTTGTTTGAATATGATGCAAGTAAATACGAAAGAATTGGAAGAATATCTAATGTGCAATGGGATTATAAAAAATATACTTGTTGGATAAACCACGGTGAGATACAAGGTAGAAGTACATCACATCACATGGAATCAAGTCCCTATTACTCAAAGATATTAAGAACAGATGAGAGTGATCATGTTGAAGACATTCCAAATGTTGTTAAAGAAGATCTTAGCGATTGTCCAAAGATGTTTAAGGGGTTAAAAGATGATGCGAAAACACCATTGTACAATGGATGCAGAAAGTTCACAAGATTAAGTTCTGTGGTAAAGTGATTGATCCTGCGAGATTACCAGCGTTGCAAAACCACATATTTGAAACTTTATGTGAGCTTCAAATGTATATTCTACCTTCGTTCTTTGATATCATGGTTCATCTGACCATTCACTTGGTTGAAGAGACAAAATTGTGTGGCCTAACATATATGAGATGGACGTATCCCATTGAACGATATATGAAGATTTTAAAAGGATATGTAAAATATAGAAGCCGACCAGAGGGATGCATTGCTTAACGATATTTTGTTAAAGAAGCTGTTGAATTTTGCAATAAATATTTGTCAAATGTAGAATGAATTCCAAAATTGCGTCACATAGGAAGGATTTTAGGAAAAGGTAGCACTGGTTGTCAACAAATAGAAGTTCCAAGAGTATAACGGGATCAAACACACTTGTATGTTTAACAAAACACCCCTAAAATAGAACCTTTTATAATAATGCACAAGGAAACATGCAAATCCTAACAGAGGTGAGAATTGGATTGCAAAATAACATAACTAGATATTCATTCCATGGCTACAAAAGCATATTTATGAGCAATTGATTGAGAATAATAATTCTATTACAGAGAAGATTCAATGGTTATCAAAAGGTCCTTATGTTGATGCATTTTTATACACTTCTTACTTAATCAACGAGTTCACCTTTTACACAGTAGAGCATGATGACCAAAGTACTATGCAAAATAGTGGGGTCATTCTTGTTGCTGAATCGCTTCATATATCCAGTGCAAAGGATAGAAACCCCATTTATGCCAATTGATGAATCCACGTTTTATTAGTTTTTTACTTGTCATTTTAATGTTTCTTAATAGAAAAAGTAAGCTTAGGAATTGTAAATAACATAAAAACATCATTTTGGTCAATTTATCATAGGTTTCTTAATTTTTGGTTAAATTACATTGATTTACATAGATATAGTTTGCAATTTTGATCATTTGAATAATTGTGCAGGAGTTTCTAGACTTATTCCATGGATTTTTAGCATTTGAGAAAGTTTGAAATGAAAGTGATCACTTTGGAGTCCATAGTGAACACTACAGCAAGCTAGATCTAGAAGGGCAGATCAAAGTGATCACTATGAACCCATAGTGACAACTCCAAAGAGGCCAAAAAGCACAAGACTTGCGCGTAGCTACTATGGAACCATAGTAGACACTTTGGAGAAGTCAAAGTTATCACTATGATGCCAAAGTGACAACTCTAGAAAGGCCAAAAACACAGGACCTGCGCGTAAACACTATGGAGCGAGAGTAACCACTCTGGAGTGTTGCGCGTTATCACTATGAAGCCAAAGTGATAACTCCAGAGAGACCCAAATCAATGGTCTTGTGCGTAAACACTATGAAGCGCTGCGCGTCATCACTATGAAACCATAGTAGTTACTTTGAGCAAAAATTTCTGCACTATAAATAAAATTTGAGAAATTAGGGTACGAAGCTTTTTACATAATTTAGGATTCTTTTGCCACTTTGGGAGCATTTTACAGAGCTTAGGATTCTTGGGTGACAGCCAAGGCCAACCTTAGGGTTTGATTTACAATTTCTCTTCATTTTCCTTTAATTCTTGCATTGATGATGTTGAATTTTCCTTGTTTTCATCTTAAATTTGTAAGACCCATCCTTATGGAGGGCTAAGCTTTCTTGTAATCCTTAGTGAGTTCATGGATTCTTGAATCCCTGGGTATGAATGTCAATATAATTACCTTTCTTTCATGAATTTACATTTCCTAACTCTTTGAATTGGGTAAATGAGGGGGACATTGGTTAATTAACCCTAATTCGTTTTAATGAAATTTGTAACTTAGTTTGCTTAATCCTAAGTTAATTTCTAAGGTTGCGTAATCTTGGGGATAAGAGATTGGAGCCCATGTAAATTGCCTAATTTGTATGGGATGTTAAGGTTAATTCTTGCTTTTTGAGTTACCCTAATTCAGAGGAAGAGGAAAAGTATTGAATCTTAAGAGGGATAGGGATAGAATTACATGAACAAACTAAGGATTGCTCATTTCATTGATTGGATTCATTAATTTCATCACTTGCCTTTACATTAAAATTGGAATTACACAAAACCCCCTTGTTTTAATTGCTTTTATAGTAAATGTTTACAACATGTTCAATGTATGTTACAAACCAAAGTTGTTGGAGATAACCTAGCTTGCATCCAAGACTACATAAATTTTTCTGCATATTTTGATGAAGGTTGACGACAAATCTTTTTGCAAAACGAAATGAAAATCTATCGTTCATCACCAACATGTCATACTTTAGGGTTATTGAAACATATGAGAATTGAATTACACAAAGTTTCGAGTAGCAGTGTTTGGATGCAAGTAGGTTGACAATAACAGTGGGGTTCGCATTGATGACTTAGGTTTTATAAGAGTCAATTTTAAAAGGGTGGGTTATCATAATGACTCATTTATTCTTGCATCACAGGCACAATGAATGTTCTATGTCCTTGATCCTATTGACAAGTCATGGTCAATTGTGTTGTTGTCTAATAAGTTCAATGCTTTAACCGATGGCGAATTAATGGAAGAAGAAGTTAATGTTGAGGATGAACTATTAAGAAGTGTAGAAAACTTGTCAATTAGA